CTGTCCATTATGTTAAACTCCAAAATAAAAATAAAACGCTCAAAACTAGCCTTTAACGTTTAATTATGTATCAAACCTTCCTTTAAACTCCCTTAAATTACTTAAATCTACCACATCTGAAGAAACCCATTCCAAAGGCCCACCACCCTGTTTTGAAAAATAAAACTGTCTTAGATGTAGATGATTTCTACCCTGTCAAATTAATATTCATGTCTCCTAGTCTTACCATTCTCACTACTAAATATGATAAAAAATGATTACCAATTCCCTTAATGATCCTAAACACCTCAATCAAATCCACTTTAACTAACCTCCCTTGAAAAGAGTAGTAACATTAGCCAACTTCCAATCTTCTGTACCTGCTCACAATACAAGGACTTAGAAAACATAATAGTAAGTGGTGCACATTCCAGTCCTTGACCTCTTTCAAAACACTTCTGTAAATATTGGCTGACTCATGTCATTCTTTTTACTCCTTAAACTTCCCAATTTTTTCTCAGAATTAGTGTGATAATCTTGCTCAACCTTGTTTCCATCTAGCAACCATTCATGGCCTATATCTTCATCAGTAAAAATCTAAAGATAAATTAGACTTTAATAACTCAGATATATCCTAATAATCAGATATTAAACTCCTAGTATCATCCTTCAAAGGCCTACTCCCATCATAACATTTTGCTTACCCTTAATGAATTTCAAGAAATCCTTAATGTTTTTTGTTTTTTTACATTTTCAGCCAACATTTTTTTTCATGATTTTTTTACTTTGCAATTTCTCATTTGACCTACTCTCTTGATCTTCTATAGTCTTTCAAATCTCCCATCATTGCAGTGAATTTAAAGTACATATATATATATATATATATAATGCTTAACTTTAATTTTATCTTTTCTATTTTTGTAAGCCAATCTAGTTTTTTTACTTGCAGCCACCTTTTTTTTGTTTATAAGGAACATAGTTATCTTGAATATTTAAAAAATTTATTAATTTTTTTCTACATTTGATCAGTATCTTCATCCAATGCAGTTGACCAATTCACAATACATAATTCTTGTCTCACCTTTTCAGAATTTGCTTTTTTGAAATTTGGGACCATAATATCATTATTCCTTATATCCTTATATGCAGAAAATCATCAAATATAATTATACAATGATGACTTGCACCCAGCTGTTCCCCACCCTCTACCATATCAACCATTTTTGTATTATAAGTTAACAATAAATCTAAAATATCATTGTTTCTAGTAGGTTCCCTGAGCAATTGTTGAAGACAACCATCCTTAGCAGTTTCTAAATATCTGTCTCCATTATCATTTGATTCTAACATTTCCCAATCTATATGCTTGAAAGTAAAATCTCCCATAATTATAACATCATTGACAGTTGAATTCTCCCTGTGGAGTTTCTCATTAATTTCACCAGTTTCATCTGATGGTATGCATCACATTTTACTAACAGAAACTCAAACAGATTCAACCTCATTGCTATTAGCTGGGATATCTCAACTTGAACAGGCTGTAACTCACATTTTACATATAAAGCCACTCCTCTCCATCTTTTTAGTACTCTATCCGTGTTAAACAACCTATAACCCTGTATTTCAAAGAAATCCCTTTCATCATAAATGTCTACATTTAGCCAGGTTTATGTTATTCCCATTAAATGAAAAATTCTCTGTTTCAACCAGTGCTCTATAGTCATCCATTTTATTTCTTATACTTCTAGCAATACAATAATAACAGTTTAGTCAACCATTTAAACTACCTTTGTACCATGTTCCCACACTATATTGCTCTTTACATTTTATTTTTTCTGGTGCTCTCTACTGTTTAATGTTAGTTTAAAATTACAGTTGAGTTAATAGCCCTTGAGAACAAGCTAGTTTCTACCTTATTTAAATGTAAACCATCCATTCCTAAAAGCTCCATCTTTCCATTGAACTGATCTCATACATCCAACCAGCCAACCTGCTTTTACTAACATATTAACCTAAGCCTAGTATTCTGCCCTAGTGACATACTTATAACTTCATCCCCACAATTACATCTTGGCAATATCCCTGACAGAATTGTTGTTTTAATTCCTTGAACTTAACAATTAGCTCTTATGATCTACTCTTCCCTACAACATTTTTCCCTATGTGCACTACAAAGACTGTATCACTACTAGCACCCTTTACTAGATCACTTGCTCTGTCAATTATATCCTCCAACCCTGACCCTGGATAGCATAATATAATTCTTTTCTACCTGTTTACCCACAGACTATCTGTACCAAAAAATCTCCTATAACAGTAACATACTTATGTTTTTCATTCCCATCCTTATCTGTCCCTTTTGTTATCCTTCCCTCTTCCAGTTCATCATATGCACAAGCCAAAGGCTTAAATATCAGAGTTTGCTCTTTGTAATTAAATCTACCACTACTAGTCCTATTATTACTCCTTTCAACATCCTGAAAATCATCACTAGCCCCTGTGTGCCTTGCATGCAATAGCTTAATTTCCTCTCTAAATCCTGCTTAAATCTCCTGCACTTTGCCCTTTCCATCACCTCCACCCTATTGGTTATAAAAATGTACCATTAATAAGTAAGTATGAGCAAATAAGTGATTTCAGAAACATTAAAAGTTGGAAGGAGCTTCTATGGGTTATGTAATTAATTTATTGATATATCAGAAAATAAAGATTTAATTTCTGACCTGTCAGTATCTATAGCTTATGTATCTAACTGGTGGAAACTCTGAAGTCTATATAAGGAAAGGAAGAAAGTTTAAAAAGAATTCAGAGAGTAGAAAGTAACACGGGGAAGTGAAGAATGAGAGTTTATTTGAATAAAACTTTTTTGAAATTAAGAAATTGAAACTTAGAAAATATAAGAACTTTAATCATTAACTATATTTTAATGCCAAATTTATTGACATACATTCCCAAAAGGTAGTTTAATTAACTTTTGAATGTAGCTTTAACAGAGGTCGTCACATTCTCACTTTGACCCACCCATAACCAGAGTGTTAATCAGAACTTACACCCTTCATTTTCACCAAAGAAGAAATGCCATTGATACTATATATGTATCTGTTCTTTACTGTGATTACCCTTCTGCCAATTTCACTTTGTAACTGGTCTGTTTTAACATCATTTCCTCCTATAGCTGTGTTTAAACCTTAGAAGTGTGTTATTAACATTAATTATACCTTTGATTTGCAAAGTTCTAAAATTATTATTATTATACATTAAGCTTTTTACTACACCTGGATAAAAAGTTTATTTACAAGTGTCTTAGGCTGTTATTTTTGTAACATGAACTTTTAACCATCTTTTAGGATAAAAGTAGGAACAAGTTGAACAGTTTGTGTTAGAGCATATTGTTCTTATTTTTCTTGCTCTAACTGGTTTTATAAAGGATGAATTTTAAAGAAGTAACTAGTACCAAGCGTGTGTCTTAATCTCACAGTATAATGACAGTAATAAAAGATAAGAAAAAGAAATACTTTTCTATTTAAAACAGTATGTTTAAATAATTGAAGTTGTGAAAGGAAATCATACATAGTATGAAGAGGATTTCCACTGTTTTCCGCTAATTTTTCATGATAAACATGACAGTTGGCACTGACGACCATAATCACGTGGCTTGCTGTCTAAGTACATATTCCTTAGGAAGTAGTCTCACAATAAGCTTTATACTAGCATACGTGTCCAATACTTATATTTTCATTTAAAGAAAGCAGAGAAAGAAGTTGGTGAAGAACCATCATTTAGAGCTAGTCTGGAGCCATCATCTAGCCAAGGGGGTTAGTCTTGAGTCAGCTTATAAAGAAAGGAGTTAGTCAAGGACCATCATTTAGGGCTAATCTGGAGCCATCATCCAGTCAAGGGGGGTTAGTCTTGAGTCTGCTTGTAGAGAAAGGAGTTAGTCAAGAACCATCATCTAGTCAAGGGGGTTAGTTTTGACTCAGCTTGTAAAGAAATAAATTAGTCAAAAACATCATTTAGAGCTAGTCTGGTGCCTTCATCCATTCAAGGGGGTTAGTTTTGAGTCAGCTTGTAGAGAAAGGAGTTAGTCAAGAACCATCATTTAGAGCTAGTCTAGAGCCATCATCTAATCAAGGGGTTTAGTCTTGAGTCAGCTTATAAAGAAAGGAGTTAGTCAAGAACCATCATTTTGAGCTAGTCTGGAGCCATCATCTAGTCAAGGGGCTAGTCTTGAGTCAGCTTATAGAGAAAGGAGTTAGTCAAGAACCATCATTTAGAGATAGTCTGGAGCCATCATCTAGTCAAGGGGTTAGTCTTGAGTCAGCTTGTAGAGAAAGCAGTTAGTCTGGAACATCATGCAGAAATGAGAGTTACTCTAGATTCAACATCTAGAGAAAAAAATTAGTCTGTATCCAGTCAATGGAAAAGGGGTGGATTTTGGGACCAGCTAGTGGAAAGAAGATTTATTTGTAACTGAAGCATATACAATAAGGAGTAAAACTGAACTACAAGTGGTAAAATACATTATAAGGAACCAGGATAAGACTAGTTTTTCCGGATGACTAAGCATAGTATAGCACAGGGTTAGTTTAGAACCAGTCAACAGAGAATGAGCAAGTCTGGAACCATAACGTAGAGATAGAAGTTATCTTAGAATCAATAATTTGGAGCCAGCCAGTGGAGGAATTTACTCTGAGCTTTTTATTTACAAGTAGTTTTCTTTTCTTGGTGCCAAGCAAAGTACTTTGTTCATTAGCAAACCACTTTCTATAAAGACTTAGCTAGAGCCAAAGAAGTTACATGTATATTACTTAATGTAAGCAACCCACTCTAAAAACTTTAATACAGGAGGGAGCTTGTATTAATTATCTCTTTAATCATTCAGTAAGCATATTCTAAGTTTCTCACTCCACATTTCTTTGCTTGCAGGTTTGTCAGTATTGACTGTACTATCTCTTTATGTAGATTACTGACAGCTTTTGAAAAATTCTTTTGATTATGCATTTACAACTTGTATTTTTTAGGGTTGCTGTCCTTGTGCATTTACCAGAACATTACTGTCTGAATACTGATCATCTTATTGGTCCACAATCCACAAGGGAGCGTCACCTGCATCTTCTCGGCTATGAAGTTGTTCATTTAAATTATGAGGCCTTAAACAGGCTGAGTTCTCAGACAGAAAGGCTGGATTATCTAAAGAAACAACTTGTATTTCCTTTTAATTCTTCAGCATCATAACATTAGTTTTGTAAATGTGACTTAAAATGTAAATATTTTAGAAATTTTAATATATGTAAATATATATTGCTTCTTAAATAAATTAAATTTAGGCATCTGGACACATGTTTTTTTAATTTCTTAGAAAATTAAGATAAGATTATTGTTGTGCAGGAAGGTTTAAACTCTAGTTTTTACAGATTAGGATTCTCACTGTGGTATTCAAGGATTAAAACATTTATTTATTTTTCTTACCATTAAATTATGTATGTTCAGACTAAAACTAAATAACTTGTAATATATTATCCACTCTGTTTAATTATTTTCAGATAGGTCACGAATGACTTATTGATTAGCACTTTTTAACTGTGAATCCAAGGATTTGTGGTTTGGATCCCTTCAAAACATACACAACACTTTGGGGCCATAGGTGAACTATAAGTGATGGTCAGATCATACTATTTGATCAGACAAAAGTAGCCTAAGAACTAGTGAAGAGTGTTTCCTTCTAGTCTATATTTTAAATTAGAGATGGCTGTTCACACATAACCTTTGTCTAGCTTTGTATGAAATTCTGAAGCAATCTTTACATAGAGTATTGAAAATCATTTTTCGTAGACAGTGTAATTCATGACCTTCAACAAATATGTGAACATGATTCAGGTTTTTTTTTTCTATCCTTATATCAGGTAGTCATATCTGGATGTAAGATATGAAATAACAAATAAAATGATATGATGGAAACATGAATTGTTAATTTTTGTTTAGCTATTCCCACTGGAATAGACTATAATGTTTGATTAACTACCCCCACTTAAACAGACTAGTTTTACCAATTTTATGGCTCATGAGTGTTTATTAGAAAAGAAATGCAAATAGAGTAATAAAGTGGTGGAATTTAATCAGTTTGTTTGGTTTAGATGTATTGAAAATGAGAATATTGTGGAATATGTAAATAAAATTGACATTATGTTAAGAACATGATTTATCTAGGAATAATTTAAATAAAATGCATGTATATATATACAATGAAGGTAACCATCTGAAAAATTTAATATATGCCAAGAGAAATACTTAGATTGGCATATTTTTCTATTGTGGAAGTATTTTCATTTGTAGCTTTCATGAATAAAAATTTACTCTTTTTTTTGCATCAACTTCTAACCATGTATATATTCTGAACAATGCACTTTCAATATATGACAGTTGCTTTTACAGGACCTCTTGACGAGAACAACTATACACATACATCGAGCCTTTTAAACCTTTGAAATATATGACAGTTGTCTTTTCAGGACCTCTTGGCAATACCAACTCTACATATACGTCCAGACTTTGAAACATTTGTAATATATCACAGTTGTCTTTACAGGACCTCTTGACAACAACAACTTTACACATATATCCAGCCTTTGAAAACGTTTGTAATATATTAGATTTGTCTTCACAGGACCTCTTGACAACAAAAACTCTAAACACATCCAGCCTTTAAAAACTTTTGTAATATATGACAGTTGTCTTTACAGGACCTCTTCACAACAACAACTGTACATATGCATCCAGCCTTTTGAAACGTTTGTAATATATGATAGTTGTTTTTACAGGACCTCTTGACAACAACAACTCTACACGTACATCCAGCCTTTGAAAACGTTTGTAATATATAAGAGTTTTCTTTACAGGACCTCTTGACAACAACAACTACACATACGTTCAACCTTTGAAAACATTTGTAATATATGACCGTTGTTTTTACAGGACCTATTGACAACAACAAGAACAACTGTACACATGCATTCATTCTTTTAAAACCTTGGTAATATATGACAGTTGTTTTTACAGGACCTATTGACAACAACTGTACACATGCATCCAGCCTTTTAAAACCTTAGTAATATATGACAATAGTCTTTAGAGGACATCTTGACAACAACTGTACACATACATCTAGCCTTTGAAAACCTTTGTAATATTTGACAATAGTCTTTAGAGGACATCTTGACAACAACAACTGTACACATATATCCAGCCTTTTTGAAACTTTGTAATATATGACAGTTGTCTTTACAGGATCTATTGACAACAACAACTGTACACATACATCCAGCCTTTTAAAACCTTTGTAATATATAACAGTTGTTTTTACAGGACCTCATGACAACAACAACTCTACACGTACATCCATTCTTTGAAAATGTTTGTAATATATAACAGTTGTCCTTACATGACCTCTTGGCAATACCAACTCCTCACATACATCCAGCCTTTGAAACATTTGTAATATATGACAGTTGTTTTTACAGGACCTCTTGACAACAACAACTACACAAATGTCCAGCATTTGAAAATGTTTGTAATATATCACAGTTGTCTTTACAGGACCTCTTGACAACAACAACTGTACACATGCATCCAGCCTTTGAAAACGTTTGTAATATGTAAGAGTTGTCTTTACAGGACCTCTTGACAACAACAACTGTATACATGCATCCAGCCTTTGAAAACGTTTGTAATATATGACAGTTGTCTTTACAGGACCTCTTGACGACAACAACTGTATACATGCATCCAGCATTTGAAAACCTTTGTAGTATATGACAGTTGTCTTTACAAGACTTCTTGACAACAACAACAACTACACATACATTCAACCTTTGAAAACGTTTGTAATATATGACAGTTGTCTTTACAGGACCTCTTGGCAATACCAGCTGCTCTACCTAGTTTAATTCTGGATTTACCAGATAGGTTTCACAGCTCCTCTTACCATTCTGGGTCAAATGGACCCAGTACAATATAGAAATGTAAGGAGAAAAATAAAGTACAATTATAAATAAGTTTTTATTACTGTATTATAATTGTATTTATTTCAACATTTTGTTTATTTGTCTAAACTGGGTCCAATGAGTCCAATTGGTTATTTCAGTATTAAACAAATGGAGCCCGAGTAAGGTGTAGCCAGTGACTCAGGCAAGCACAGCAGTTTGCTCAGACATGTATTTGATGGCTAGTTCAGATGACACTTATATTTGTCTCTAATAATAATAGATGAATGTTTAAGTTCCATGTGGACACTGCTGCAGCCAACACTTTAATTATCTTTTTTTTTTCAGGCATATTGTTGTTGTTTTTCCTCTTAACCCAACACCTTGCAATGAATGAGACACTTTGAGTGAAGCCACCAATTTAGCCATTCAATACTAACTCTCTTTTGGCAAATGACAAAAATAAAGTATGAATAGAGATGTACTCTCCTTCTTGATGTTCATACTGTCACTCACACAGTTAAGGTAATTGTTACTGATTTATATTAAGGATGGACCTGTTGCAGAAAGTGTCAGCCAGCTTCAAGTGTAGAGCAATCAACATCCTCTAGTTATCCATCCACTTCTGACCTGCTAGAGCTCAGAAACACTGTACTGAACACATGCCTGTTGAGAAGGAAGACACAAAAGGTTTCCTGTGATGCTGTGCAGAGTCAGTCTAGTGAATTTTTGCAGTTATATAATCAACCCATGAAATGTTTTCTGTCTAGATACAAACTTTCCTCATTCAGTATTGCTCTAAATATTGTCATTGTGTCAATGCTAGTATGTAATTACAAGCAAAAGTACCCAACCCTAGTGAGGGGAAAGGTTTAAGTTAAACAATCAATATAAATTATTTAATGGACTTTAAAAAGGACGTGTTGCACTCTTGGTTTAACTCAGAGCCAAGTGAAAGTAGCCTATTTAAACAGGCTTGTGAGGAGTGATGGTCTAAAACAACACACTGAAGGGAGTTCCATATAGGCTTGTTTTCTGTCATGTTTGGAGCAAGCCACTTAACATAGAAAGTAGCATTCTTTTAAAGAAACTCCTTCACAGTCAAAGCACATTTTCATTCATAAGGGTACAGCCTCATAAATTAGGTTCTCACCCCTATAGTGCATACAACTATTTCAAGACATGTGGAGACCAGTTTTTCCACTGAAGTCCTTTTTTTTTTTTTTGCCCTAGACCATATTGGGCTCACCAGTCTAGTAGTCATGTTCAACTACATTAGTGTTATTATAACTCTTTGCAGTTGTTTACATGCTAGTATGATGGTGTACGAAGTGAAGACTAAACATACTTGAAGAGTATTGGCATTAAATCCAAGTGGTCTTGAGTACAATCCCCACAGATTTGCTTCGACTCTAGGTCACAATGATCCCACTACAGTTTTTCTTTGACCAACCTCTTTAAGTCTCTTATGAACAGCTACAAGAACTCTTCAGATGTGTTTTGAAAGTTATAACAAATCTACTTCTGTACTTTCTGGAAAAATCTCAGATCTGTATGTTGAGAAAGCTGTCTTGTCCTGTGTTGCTTTGTTTTGCCAACTGCATGCCATCTCGTTACATTTCAGTGGATTCTGTACCACTTCTAGGCATAGGAAAAAAATTGGCAGCAACAGTGTGAGTCTGGGATTGAACTCAAATCATCAAAAAGCTAGGACTGTTGGTGCCATCAGATGTGGTCTGGCATAGCCAGGTGGTTAGGGCAGTCGATTTGCAATCTGAGGGTCTCAAGTTTGAATCCTCGTTCCACCAAACATACTTGCCCTTTCGGCCAATGGGATGTTATAATGTAACGGTCAATCCTACTATTTGTTGGTACAAGAGTTGGTGGTGGGTGGTGATGACTTGCTACTTTCCCTCTAGTCTCACTGCTAAATTAGGAAATGGTAGCACATATAGCCCTCGTGTAGCTTTGCACAAAATTCAAATAAACCAAGCCATTAGATGTAATGGCTTGTACATCAACAGTTTACACAACTGAAGGCCAGGTGGTTAGGGTGCTCGGGTTGCAAGTTGCGGGTTCGAATCCCTGTCCCACCAAACATGCTCGCCCTTTCAGCCATAGGGGCATTATAATGTGATGGTCAATCCCACTATTCATTGGTAAAAGAGTAGCCCAAGAGTTGGCGGTGGGTGGTGATGACTAGCTGTCTTCCCTCTAGTCTTACACTGCTAAATTAGGGGTGGCTAGCGCAGATAGCCCTCGTGTAGCTTTGTGCGCAATTCATAAACAATGACAACTGAATATCAGCAGTTCACGATGGCCATTCAGTAGTAGGTGAAACAGCACTATTGGTAATAGGTGTAAACCAATTAAGTTCTCCTATTTCGTATGTGGTAGTGGTGGTCAGTTGTAACTCTTGATCAAATGCACAAAGCGTGGCTGGTTTAATTTTTGGATTTGATAATTTCCAGATGCTTTACTCTTACACTGATTTTATTTTATACCTTGCTTTGACTTTGTTGATGTCCTTATATACTTCACTTTTGACTACATTGACGACCTTTTACATTTCTTCAAACTTGTAATCCCTCTGTACGTTCCCCTACAGCTTCATTAGTTTTTTCTTCAATGAGATGTATTTTTGATTTTAATTATTTCTTAAACAGTAAGTCTCTTTCTTCTAGTTTTATATCTCTTTCTTCGTTTTATTATAATTTCCTTTCTTCTTTAAATTTTCTGTCTCATTTCTTGACGTCGTAGTAGTCATCTTCAAAATTATATCTCAAATATATTCGGAATGTTATTTTATTTACACCAAAATAGTATTCCTTTTCTAAAACCAAGTATTGTAAAGTTGGGTTCGCATTATCAGAATTTGATCGCTAGTAGTAGCGATCGGTAGGGTCAGGTTTATTAAAAACCTCTTCCTCCCTCCTTGGCTGTTTAGGGTGAAAATCGGCAAATGCTAAATTAGATTATAATGGAATTGTTGTACGTTATTCTACAACAATTCTTTCTTCCCTTGTCAGAGCCATTTCTATTTATAAAGTACTATAACATTTAGTGAACAATATACATTTATCCTCATCTGATGCACCAACAGTTCCATACATAATTGTTCACTTTTTTTTTTCAATAATCACTTCACCGAGCCATGTTTGACATGGCATGGTCAGGTGGCTATGGCGCTCGACTTATAATCTGAGGGTCGCGGGTTCGAATCCCCCTCTCACCAAACATTCTCGCCCTTTTAGCCATGGGGACGTTATAATGTGACGATCAATCCCATTATTCGTTGGTAAAAGAGCTGGCTGTGGATTGTGATAACTAGCTGCCTT